GAGGAAGATGGAGGATAGGATAGAGTCGGATGGGGGTGGATAGGATATGTATAGATATGTACGGAGGGTATGGGGTATGGGGTATGGGTATGGGTATGGGTAGCAGTCGGTTGGCTGATATCTGGGAAAAGTGGAAGATGGAGGAGGAAGGAAGACGGGGTAGGATAGGTTGATAAGCGAGTAAGCGAAAAGTAAACGAGGGTGAGCGAAAGTATAAACTGGAGAGAGAGAGTGGGGGGGGGGGGTAGCGAGTAAATAGGGTAAAGCGAGCGAGGGAGAAAATGGAAAGGGAAAGAGAGAAAAAGAGAAAGAAAGAAGAGCAGAAGGAATCTCATGTTATTCTTTTTGTAATCGAGGCGGGGGGGTGGGGGGTTTTCGATTATTGCTTCAAGGCTTGCTTTTTGGTTTTCCTCAAAGGGAAAGTAGAAAGTAGGGAGGATCATTCCCGCGGTCCTCTGATCCTCTTTTGATGAGAGACGGTTATTGGAGCGCTTAAAAAGCAGGATCAAGCTCTTTCCGACCATTCCTATTAAAAGAGGCCGACCGTCCCGAGCGCTTTTGTTTCATGGCCCCCCCCGTTTCCCGTTTAGATTTTTTAAAAACAGAATACATTTATCGAGGAGCCCGTTTGAAATATCTAAGACGGTTTATGGATCATCTGGAATGAGATGCGATGAAGAAATTAGAGGTTCTTTTTTTAACGGTGCCGTTTTCGATTATGAGTCGGTTCTTGAATCGATTTAGTATACTTTGGTTTTGGAATGTTGAGTTTTGGTTTTGGTTTGGTTTGGGGTTTGGTTTTAGTTTTTTTTTTAATAGAATAGCTTGCTTAGCTTGTGTAAAGCTTGTACGTACATGTATTTGTGTGTGTATTAGCTAGCCTTGAAGCTCTGGAGTGGGTTTTATCTCTTCTGCATTTTTCTCTTAAATTAAATTTTTTCTTTTTCTCTCTTCCTTGTTCCCAAAATTTTCTTTTTTATGTAAGGGATGTTTGATAGGCGGAGAGGGTCGATTCACATATGAAATCTCTCAAATGGTGTAAGGATTGGATTTTTAAAGTCTACGATTTAGATGGATATGTATGTTACATGGTCGGTCGGTCTCCTTACTACAGTACTCGACCACCCGTCATCATCACCGCGAGTTCCCGGGCCTCACCACTTGATGAGATTCTTCTTATCAGTGCTCCACTCCTCGGGCGGCTCCCTCTTGGGCATCACATAGCGATAGTACTCCTGCAAGCCCGGGTACATGTCGAAGAATTCCCACTTCGCGCGCGCCACCTGGTTCTCCGAGCCCAGGAAGAGGACCTTGCGCGCGCAGAAATGCAGCCCGGGCAGGGTCAGCCGCTGCGGCAGCTCGATCTCGACCCAGACGTTCCGGATCCCCGGGTCCCGGAAGTAAGGGCCGAACTTTGTTGCCGTCGCCCACTCGATGCTACTGCTACTGCTGCTGCTGCCGCCGCCGTCGCCGCCGTTGCTGTTGCTGAGGAGGCAGAAGATGCCGCCCGTGCCGAGCTCGATCATGCTGTCGAGGACGCCGTGCCGGCCGCCGGCGCAGAGGAAGCCGCCCTCGGACTGGCCGTCGGCGCTGGCGTCCATGCGTATCCACTCGCGCTGCTCGGGACAGGCCCCGCTGCGCTTGATGAGTCGCATGGCCCAGCTCTTCTGGATCTCGGCGAATGAGGGCTCGAGCTCGCTGAAGTGCGGCTGGAGCTGGGCGCGGAACCGGTCCTCTTTGGTCTTGAGGATGCTTTTGGGCTTGAAATCCCCGGGGGTCGGCAGCTCGGTTTCGATGATGTGGTGGGTTTTCTTTTTCTTCTTGGGGTCTGATTTCTTTTTCTTCTTGGGGTCTGCAGACGCGTCGCTCCGTGGCATGGCTGACGATTGCTGCAGCTGCGGTTGCAAGGGCGTGTCTCGGAAGGCATCGCTGTGCGGCATCACTGACGTCGGCTTGCCGGACAGTGGTCCAGGCGCGAAGCCGCAACCGAAGCCGAATTCCAAGTCGTCCAGTTCGAAGTCGAGCTCCGGTGTTTCTTCCTCTTCCGCTTCATTCTCTTGGGCCTTGCCCTTGCCCTTCGACTTCTTCAGCTGGTCGTTGTTAGCGAAAGTGTCTCCGCTCGCGGGCATCTTTGATCCGCTGCCGGAATCGCTGGACTTGACGAGCAGCTTCGATCTGTGGCTTACGCCCCTGAACTGCTCGAACCCGTCGTCGTCCTCGTCGTCGAGTGCGTTGTCCTCTTCTCCGATGGGGGACATCTTGCGCAGGGCCTTGAAGTTCTTGAATTCTACCGCGGAGGGTGGGACCCTCACACTGGTCTTGCTCTTGGGCTCGCGCCCGCGCTCGTCGTCGTTTGACTTTGGCTTTGGCGTCTTGGATGAGGACTTGGGCGTCTTTGAGGATGGGCGTCCGGACATGTTGTGCTGTGTTGTGCTGTATGTGTTTCTGGCGTATCTTTGTTGTCGAGTTTTTAGAAGATGAGGAAGAGGGTTTTGCTCTTTCTCTTTTCCTTTTTATTCTTTTCTTGGGACGTTTGAAGTGTGCTTGGGCGGAGGGAGTATGGTTGACACTTGACACTTGGGGAGGAGAGATCCGGGTCTTTATATACCTCCCGACTCCAGTTCCCGTGGAGCTCTGCAGTATATCGGAGAGTCATATGCTCTATTGGTGATACAGAATCGCATTGGTGGGTGATTCGATTACGTGGGTCAGAGTAGCCTGAATCCCCTTTCTTTACTCTGTCTTATTCCCTCATTTGGCGAGCACAATCACATCTTTAGTACTCGGTCGATGATGCACCAAATGTAGACTCTGAATATCTCCATTTGACGTCTCGTATATATACAGAAAAAAAGAATTGCAAAGTCTGAAATCAAATCTTGCACAACTCGTTACTCTTCATTTTTATTCTTTTTCTGTCTTTTACTTTATAAAATACTGCATGGTAGACAGACGTAATGCTGTTTCTACTTTACTCTTCTGATCAATATGACCAAGCGAGAGTTTCTGCTCATTAGCTATGGAGACGTCAGTTGCGAAGATGGTGTTAAAGTGGGACAAGTAATTAAACATAGCCCCACACTCTGGTACCGAGTCTGCGACTTTACTTATCAATCACTTGAGGATCCTGATAGCACACTTAGAGATGATTTTATAAGAAGCGGCCGGTATCGGAAATGGTAGCTTGTATTTCTATATCTTCGACATCTTTTCTTGAACTTCCTGCGAATTTCTGGATAGTTGTGAATCAAGGTTGAGCTTGAGGGTAGTAGGTAGGTTCAAAATGCAATGAATGAATGGTCTGTCTCTGCATATGGCAGATACCATCGAACTTTTTACACTATAAACTTTTTTTCCCTGACGAGACATTCTTGGTCTTCTGAATAAATGCCAGGATAAAGCATTCGATGCGTGTCTCGGCTCGTAAAGTCGGCCAATAAGTCAACCAAGAACGCTGAAGGTAGTGCGTTGCCCACTTGGCGGTATAGGAGACAATGAATGATTCGTCAAGTATCGTTAATTCCTGAATATTAGCAACAGGTCTCGATTACCACAGCGGATTTTTTCTGATTTGAAATAAGCTTCTCTGCTTTCCAGTAAGGTCAGAAAGGCTGGGCCAGCTTGTGGTGTACTTACTACATCCGCTTACCGGGTCTGGAGGGTTGAGCTCCATAGGGGTGCAGAGCAGTAGGAGAGCACAATTTTGTCTTGAATTAATTCAAAGAACTCTAGTGAGAAGGCAGGTTTTCTTCGTCTCTTCCTGGTTCGGCAATGGTGCGGACGTGGATGAAAGCAATTATATTCTAATACTCGATTTGTCTTGGCGAATACGGACGCACCATGCCAGGGGCTTAGGTAATTCGCGCTAGCGGAAGCTTGGTGATATAGCAACATCCTTATCCACACATCATACCTACTGTAGGTATATTTATCGATCAACATCCTCGACAACTTCTGCAACCGTAAGGGCTCAATACCATACAGTACTTGCAGAACTTGCTTCCTATATAAGTACAATTTCTCAGTTTGCTATTATTAAAATCCAGAGCAATCAACGTACAATTCCGGCTTTGTCATGAATCACCAGCGCTCGTGAGTTTGACCTTTCGCGAATCTGCAAGCAAGACCATGAGTTTGCTATCCTCGTCGAAGCCTCACCATAGTGCTGTTCTCTCAGAGACCACACCGCTCCTCGCGTCGCCAGCAGATAGCCCAGCGTTGCCCATCAATGAAGGAAGTCTTCTCGACCACGATTCGACAGAGACCACCTCGGCTCGCGAAACTCGCCATGTCGAAGATACGCCTCTCCCCAAAACTCAGATATTTCTGCTCTGCTTAGCTCGCTTGGTCGAGCCCGTCGCTTTCTTCGGGATATTTCCGTATATCAATCAGATGATCCAGGAGATCGGAAAGTTGGCAGAAGCTGACGTTGGGTTCTATAGCGGTTTTATCGTGAGATTTCTGTTATCTTTAGCGAGCATGGATCTGTCCCATATTCGCTCGCTTGCCGTTACTAATCCATGACTGGCGCAGGAAGCGATGTTCTCGTTTACACAGATGCTGTTGATGATTTCATGGGGCAGAGCTTCCGATCGTATAGGCAGGAAACCAGTCCTGGTCTTCTCCTTGGGAGGTGTAGCCGCTGGGACTGCCTTGTTTGGAATGAGCAGGACGCTCTGGCAAATGGTGCTCTTCAGATGTTGCGCTGGCTTCTTCGCTGGAACCGTCGTGTAAGGTTTCTGGTTGTGACGGCAGTCATACGGATAATGCTGCTGACATACTGAGTAGAACAATCCGGGCTATGCTTTCAGAAAACAGTACCCCGAGGACCCAGGCTAGGGCTTTCAGCTTCTTCGCATTTAGCGGGAACTTGGGCATTCTTCTTGGCCCGTTGATAGGTATGGACTTGCTCTATGATTTGCGCATCTGAGGACTGATTGTTTCCAGGCGGCGCACTTCAGAGTCCGGCCAAGCAGTACGGTGGGGTTTTCGTCGACATCAAATTCTTCAGAGACTATCCATATGCTCTGCCGACGTTTGTCACTGGCTCGATTGGCGCTGCCGCTGCGGTGGCTTGCGGCATTTTGGTGAAAGAGGTCGGCTATTCCGAGGCTTGATCCGAATAGAGTACTGACAACGGCTCTAGACACTGAAACGAAGAGTTAAAAGCGACAATGGATCTGAGCTTGAAGCTCCGATGTCCATCTACGAAATTATGAGAGCGCCAGATATAGGCTACGTGCTATTCCTCTACACCCACGTCATGCTCCTCGGTCTTGCCTATACAGCCCGTCAGTCACCCTGCGTCCTTTTCCCAATCTTCAACTGACGGTGAAGCCCAGTTTCGCCGTTATTTTGGTTTACCGAAGTTTCCCTCGGAGGTTATGGTTTCACCCCTATGCAAATCTCTCTTTTCCTAGCCGGCATCGGCGTCTCGCAAGGAATCTGGCTGTTGCTGTTCTTCCCGACCCTGCAACGAAAATACGGTACGGGAAACATTATCCGAGTCTGTTACATCACATGGCCGATCTTCTTCGCCACCTCGCCGCTGTGCAACTACCTCCTCCGGCACGGTCACACGACAGCCTTCTGGATCATAGCACCAACTTTCCAAATTGCAGGGAGCGGTGTTGCTATGGCCTTCAGTAAGTTTCGCCGGATGAGTGGAGAGCGAGCGCAGTAGTTAACGGGTAACAGCCGGAGTCCAACTCGCTTTGAACGATGTCTCTCCGTCATCGGATACGCTTGCAACGCTAAACGCGATGGCGCTCACACTTACAAGTGGCATTCGAACGATTGGGCCAATAGCATTCACTAGTCTGTTTGCTGCCGGGGCCAACAGCCAATTTCTGAATGGCTATCTGGTGTGGATTGTTCTGATAGCTATTGCGATGCTCGGAACCGTGTCGATGAGATGGTATCCCCAGAGAGCAGAGGGCAGAGTAAAGGATCATGATGGTGTTATCACACGCCAGTCACAGCGTTAGAAGAGTGCTTGATACGGACACACCTGGTAGGGACAGGAACCGAAAATGCAAGAGCCTGCGAGCTGTAAATTCTCATACCGCTTGAGGAACGGGCAGAACGATCGAATCTCTGAGATTCGGACCCTATAGAAATACAATCAGTTTTCGGTTATGCTGGTATGGAAAGTTCCAACTTGCCAACGCGTTTTGATCAGCGGCTAATTTCCAAACTCTTTTAGCCACAATCTCGATTCAAGATCATCAACACTACCCTGACCTCACAGCTCATATATAAATATACAGTATACTTGCTGCATCTCAGACTTCCGCCTTTGCCTTGAGGATGATACAGAATAAAATCATTTGTAGTCATCGGCTCTAGCTGGACCGGCCTGGTCTGCTTCATATCACGCGATAGATCCAAAGATGAAAAGGAACCGTAGGCTTTCCCAAACACGACGAAAATACTCAGATATCTAATGGGCGACGCAGTATATATTTTCCCACTGTCCACGATGTTGTGAGGTCGTCGACATAGAGGCTAGCAGGCTAAGTTCATCAAGTCCCGTAGTGGAAACGCCGATCTCCAAGTCAGAGGTTACAGAATGTGTTAATAATGCAGAGACCTGGGGGAGCTGCATATTTCCAAATACGACATTTTGGAAGTTGCTGTTTATTTTGATTTGGCAGAAGCTCTCTTGTTGGGAGCCGCATCCTTGGACTACCTATTTATGCCAACGCCTTGCTAAGGACAATACACAATATCTAAAAGAAAAGAGAAAAAGAAAGAAATACACAAATGCTTTCCCGGGGAGCACAGTTTGAGAGACTTCTTGATACAGACAGTGCGTGTGGATGCTCAAAGTCGCGAAAGGCTCACCCTTTGTTTTGTTTTTATCGTCGCACTCTCCCCCCCCCTTCCCTTTCCTTCCCTTATGACCTGTCGCTGACTTTGGGGCAGATAGCTACATAGCTAGGACTTTCGCACTGATGGCTGAAACAGGACCTTTATTGAGCGTCTCAATCAATCAGACTCCGCTTCAATTTTGATAGAGACTTGGCCAGAACCGCCCATCTGGTATTCTTCTCGTCGTTCTTGCTCCGACTTGAGTTTGGAGTGACCTTGAGGACTAAGAAGCTCTCCTCCGCCCCGCTGCGGCTGCGGGACAGAAACCTGATCGCGGTTGCCGATCTTTTCTTCTTGCTCTTGCTTTATCCGACGTTCAGGCTCCTTCCCAGCTTTGTGGTTGTCCTTTCCGTTCGGGCTGATGTAGCTATTGGGTCCTCCATAGGCGCGGTCACCAGCGTATCTGTTGAGCTTTGCGGTGTTACCAGGTCTCTGGCTATTATCGTATCCGCCTTGGCTTCTGGCGTTGTTTGCTCCCCAGTTGAGAGCGCCCCAACCGGGCCCATATGGTACTCCGGCATTGCCTAGTCTCTGGCCAGCAACGCCGCCACCGTATCCGTCAACCATGATGGCGCTGCTTGGTCCCTTCTTTTGGTTGCCATGCTGCATGTTCGGAAGTCTGGCGTCGTGAGGCAATTGCGGTTCACGATGACCATTGCCCCAGCCGTCCCCGTTTGGCATTCTCGCATTGCCCGGCTCCTCCTGCCTAGCCACGCTGCCGCTCACAAAAATCTGGTCAAGGAGTCGCATATCGAAGGACTGGATCTGTAGCGCTCCCGGTTGGGTCCTGTACTCCCTCGCCCCCTTCTTCCACAGGTCGATGTAGAAACTCCCGGCAACCCGAAACTCCGTCTCCAGGTCGTACAGCAGCCTCGCCACGGCCTCGACCTGCGAGTAGGAATAGGGTCTGAGATCGAAGAACGGCATCGCCCTCCACGGCATGTATGCGTAGACGGCGCGCAGGAATCGCATCCGGACCGGGCTGGCGGCATCTACAAATGTATTCATGACCATGACCGTGTCGATGAATGAGATGCAGGACTCGACCGTGTATCCCATGTAGATCCCGCTCGGGGTTTCGATGCAGAGCTTTTCGTTGCCCGATAGCATGTCGCGGAACTCCTCGGGCTCTGTGATGCCGCACATGGGATGCATCGTGAAAGGAATTTGAGGACTCGGGGTTCGTATTTTTGGTGGTATTTTCTTTGAGGTTGTAAGTCGAGAGTAGATAGCGAACTAGGAAATCCCTTTCCGGGATGTGTATGTATGTATGCCTCGAATAGCCACGTAGGAGCGTTGAATCAGAGCTGCTGCTTTTTTCCGTTGATTCATTCGTGCTCTTGTTCTCCGAGGTGAATGGGCGGGTAATGAAGGCCTTGAACCCTTTTTTGTTCACTTATCGACGTCAACCACGCTCCTTCTGAGCGCGGAACAACGTGCCTCCAAGCGTGAACAACTCAACTCAAGCCCAATCCGCTTCTCAGACTTGCCGCTGAAATCTTCGTTCCGCTATTTACTTTTGATAATGACAGCCAGCCTAAGCGTTTTTTCTCCCTCTCTCGTCGTCGTTTGCCGCTATGACTTATTCCTTTCAAGACAAGTAATATAGCTAGTCAGTCAATCATATATCAACTCTATTCCTTCCTCCTCTTGCTTCTATTGCTTATCGAGAATACTTTTCCGTATCGTATTATTTATCGTATCGCACGTATATCTCTGTGTCTCTCTTTCAGAATCGTGGATCCTTTATTGCAGCTTTTGAAGATGGGGATGGATGACTGCGCGTCTTCTATTGGCCGTTTTGCTTGTATTCGTGCCTGGCTGTCTGGTTATGTATTATGACTTACTAATGGTTGGTTTATAAAGCGTGAGTTATAAGGCCTGATTATAGTTATTAGTATAGTCGTTGATAATGCTTTTGGCTTCAAGTACGATTAAAGTATGAATTAAGTCATTTCAGTCATTCAGATTTGTATTTTATTTATTTATTTATTTATTTATTTATTTATTTATTTATTTATTTATTTATTTATTTATTTATTTATTTATTTATTTATTTATTTATTTATTTATTTATTTATTTATTTATTTATTTATTTATTTATTTATTTATTTATTTATTTATTTATTTATTTATTTATTTATTTATTTATTTATTTATTTATTTATTTATTTATTTATTTATTTATTTATTTATTTATTTATTATTTATTT